ATGTTGAGAATCTTTCCATGTCTGTTAGCCATCTGAATGTCTTCTTCAGAAAAAGGCTTGTTCATATATTGTGCCCATTTTGTAATTGGATTGTTTGTTTTTTGGGTGTTGAGTGTGATACGTTCTTTTTAGATTTTGGACAATAACCCTTCATCAGATATGTCATTTGCAAATATCTTTTACCATTTTGCGGGAAGCTTTTTAGTTTTGTTGATTGTTTCCTTCATTGTGCAAGAGCTTTTTATCTTGATGAAATCCCAATAGTTCATTTTTGCTTTTGTTTCCCTTGTAGATGTAAAAAAGTTTTTAAAAAGATTTTTATTTATTTATTTGACACAGAGAGGGAGCACAAGCAGGGGGAAAGTCAGAGGGAGAGGGAGAAGCAGATCCTCACTGAGCAGGGAGCCCAATGTGGGGCTCAGTTCCAGGACCCTGGGATCATGACTTGAGGTGAAAGCAGGTGCTTAACAGATTGAGCCACCCAGGTGCCCTAATGTAAACATTTTAAATAAAATATTAACAGATGGAATTAGTAATATATAAAAGGAATTACACATTGTGATGAAGTGAAGTTCATTCCAGGGATGCAAGTCTAGTTCCATATTTGAAAATCAGTTAATGTAATCCACTATATTAACTGGCTTAGGAAGAGAAATCACATGATCATATCATTTACTGCAAAACTTTTTTTCTGGGCAGCCCGGGTGGCTCAGCAGTTTAGCGCCGCCTTCAGCCCAGGGCCTGATCCTGGAGACCCGGGTTCGAGTCCCACGTCGGGTTCCCTGCATGAAGCCTGCTTCTCCCTCTGCCTGTGTCTCTGCCTCTCTTTCTGTCTGAATCTCTCATGAATAAATAAATAAACAAAACCTAAAAAAAAAACACAACAAAACTTTTTTTCCACAAAACGTAACACCCATTCATGATAAAAACTCTCAGAAAAGTAGAAATAGAGAGAAGATTTCTCAATTTCATAATATCTATAAAAACCTATAACTAACATTATACTCCGTGGTAAAAGATTGGATTTTTCCTCCTTAAGATTGGGAACAACAACAAAAAAAGATTGGGAACAAGATAAGGATTTCTCCTTTTATCATTCATATTCAACATAGTATTGGAAGTTCTATCCAGTGCAATACGGCGAGAAAAAGAAATAAAAGACATATAGAACAGGAGAGAAGATATAAAACTATCCCTGTTTGCAGATGATATGGTTGTCTATACAGAAAAATCCCAAGGAATCTTAAAAATCTCCTAGAACTAATAGCTGAGTTCAGCAAGATCATAAAATACAACAACAACAACAACAAAAAAAAACCCCTCAAAACCCAAACTATTTATTTCTTTATATTAGCAATGAATAGGCAGACTCTGAAATTAAAATAAAAATTATTTACAATTAAAGAAAATGAAATACTTAGAAGTAAATCTAACAAAACATTTATATGACTTGTGTGCTGAAAACTATACAATGGTGATGAAAGAAATCAAAGATATACATAGAGAGATACACTGTGTATATGGATAGGAAGATTTGACATAGGGAAGATGTCAGTTCTCCCCAAATTGATATACAGGTTTATCTGCTACCAAAAACCCAGCAAGATTTTTTGTAAACATAGACATGATGATTCTAAAATTTATATGAAAAGACAAAGGGACTAGACTAGCCATAAACAATTTGAAAAGGAAAAATAAATAATGAGAGTCACTCTAGCAGGTTTCAAAGGTTATTTATATAGTATAATACTCAAGACTATCTGGTATTGATGGAGGTATAGACGTGTAGGTCAATGGAACATAACAGAGAATCCAGAAATAGCTCCACACAAATATACTTAATTGATTTTTGACAAAAATACAAAAACAACTCAATAGAGGAAACAGCATTTTCATCAAATGGTGCTGGAGCAACTGGATATCTGCAGGCAAAAAAATGAGCCTCAACTTAAGTCTCAGACCTTATATAAAACTTAATGCATAGTGGACCACAAACTTAAATGTAAAGTGTAAAAGTAGATAACTTTTAGGAAAGAAACAGAAAATCTTTGGGATCTTGAATTAGGCAAAGATCTTAGACTTGACCCCAAAATCATAATCCATACAAGAAAAAATTGATAAATGGGACATCATTAAAATGAAAAGGAATTGCTCTGCAAAAGGCCTTGTTAAGAAGATGAAAAGAAAATCTTGAGTGGAAAAAAATTTATGAACTACTATCTGCCCAAGGACTAGTATCTAGAATATATAAAAAAACTGTCAAAGCTCAACAATAGGAAAAAAAATCTAATTAGAAAGTGAAGAGGATATAGAGATAGCTGATAATCACATGAAAAGATATTCAACTTTATTAGCCATTATAGAAATGCAAATTAAACATATCAGAATGGATAAAATAAAAAATAGTGACAACACCAAATGCTGGCAAGGATGAGGAAGAACTGGATCACTCATATTTTGCTGGTGAGAATGTATATTGGAAAACCATTTGGCAGTTTCTTAAAAAATGAAATGTGCAACTACCATATATCCAACAACTGGACTCCTGAATATTTATGACAAGAAATAATAGTATGTTCACAGAAAAGCCTGTATATGAAAATTCATATTTTTCATATAAGCCCCAGACTAGGAACAGCCAGATATCCTTCAATGAGTGAATGGCTAAACAAATTGTACACATCCATACCATGGAACTTTAGCAGTAAAAAAAGAATGGACTATTGGGGCACACAATGACCCAGATGAATCTTCAGAGAATTATATTGAGAGTAAAAAAAATCCAATCTCAAAAGGCTATACCATATGATTTCTTTTACAATAATGTTCTTAAAATGGCAAAATTATAGAAACAATGAGTAGGTTGTTGGTTGCCAGGAATCAGAAAGGCATGTAGTAGGTGGAGATGGGATAGGATAGAAATGGGTGTAGGTATAAAAGGGCCACATGGGGGATCCTTGTGGTGATGGAAATATTCTCTGTCTTTACTCTATCAATGTCAATTCAGTGGTTGAAATCCTGTACTATAGTTTTGCCAGATATTACTATTGAGAGAAACTGTGCAAGGTGCATATGGACCTTTCTGCATTATTTCATATGTCTATATGTGACTCTATAATTGTCTCAAAATAATGAGAAAAAAAGAGAGGGACATTTACAGGACAATTGGAGAATTATGAATTATGACTGGATTTTGTAATGTTTTAGTTTTAAAAGATTAGTCTACTCTTACAAGACCCATATTGAAATATCTACTGATGAAAGAATGTATCCGGAATTTGCTTCAGAGCAATCCAGAATGGAGGATAAGCAGGTGAGAGTCTCCTGGGAAAGTGTAAAAGGATGAATAGATCATTGTTGGAGCTAGATGAGAAGTGTGTGGGGTTTCTTAACATCATACGTTATACTTGGTCATGCAGCATGGAGCTGTGGGAGCCAGTGCAACATGGTGGTTAAGCCATTGTCTTCAGAGACTGTTGGACCTTGTTTGAACCTTGGCTCTGCTACATATTAGCTATGTGATTTGGGAAAATTTATTTAACCTCTCTATAAATTGTGATACTATCTCAGGATAGTTGTATAGATAAATGAGATTGCCAAAGAGAAGCAGGGTGAGAAAAGGAAAGGTCTTCTCTCAAGGGATGAGAGAGGGAGGGATGTCAATGCAGGAGACAGAGGAGTTGTTGGAGGTAGATACCCAAGGTTAGGTTGGGCAATGTCTTGTCTCTTGGAATGGGAAAGAGGCCTCAAAAGAGTTTTAAGAAGTTGAAAACTGATAACCATCAGATTTGGTGTTCAGGAAGTCATGGTGCTGACAGTAGCTTGGGTTCAGTGGTGAGGGTGGGCCCAGAAGAAGGTAGTGAGAAGTAGATGGGGAAAAAGGGTTTGATCCACCACTCCTGACCTTGATGGGATGGTATGGAAAGACAACTCCAGAGGGAAAGAACACTAGGGGAGTTCAAGAGCAAGAAAAAAACTGGAGAAGAGAAAAGAGATGGAAAATAAGAAAGGAGGTACAGATTAGGTGGTCTTATCATGAGGGGGACCAGGAGTCCAAAGATTATGGTGGGAAGGCAGTTGCTCTTTGATACAGATTGGGATTGTTACTAAGACTGTTTTATCTGCCCCTGGTATTTCCCCTCATCCTTTATTTGATACTCATTTGAATAGCTATTTAAAAAGAGAGAACATTATAGGACATCGGGAATTATGAGTGCTAACCAGATTTTTTAATGTGAGGGTAGGATTATAGTTTTGTTTTAAAAGGTTAATTCTTGATTTTCATAGATTGGTACTAAGGTATTTATGGGTGAAATGATATGTCTGGAATTTGCTTTGGACCCTGAAGAAAAAGAATGTTTTGTTTTCTGGAGAGAGGTTTTGGAATCATAGTGCCATATTGACATGTGTACACTTATTATTCTCTTGTGTACACTTACTATTTATTAGGTTTCCTCATGCAGAATATGCCATGCTAATGTTGGCCCTTTACACAGTGCTTTCTTATGTGTGGGTGTGTGTGTTACCTCTCCAGAGTGACTAGTCTGTGACTGACTCACCAGCACCCCCTCTAAAGGCATCTGTGTTCAATCTGGAAATCCCTGGAGAGACAAGTTTCCTTATCTGTGGGTGTGAAGCTGTGGGTGCTTATCTAGTCACCAGGGTCTGAAGGACTCAGGTAATGAATGAGTTCTTTGAGGCAATCTTTGTCTGAGAGCTGCAGCTGACTCCCTCAATCCTCTCTATCAAGGCTGAACTTTTCCAGAGGACATTTTCTGTGTCTTAAAGCAGCCACATCCTCTTCAAGCTAAGGACTGGGTGGGCTTCTAAGCTCAGCTTCTCATTTAATGTGAGGATGCAAGAGTCCAGGTTGAACTCCCCAGCAACTCCACCTGCACAACCAGCAGCCTGCCCACCAAAAGTCACCCAACCAACTCATCATGCCACATGAGGGATGACCACGTGAGGCCCAGACTGAGCAGAAACCCATAATGCATAGGAAGGCTTAAGCAATGGGGCTAATCTTTATTGAGGTGAGCACATTCATGTTAGCTGTTCACAATGATCGCAAATCGTCTAGTTTTAAAAAACTTCCTACTTCCATACAGCTCTGTATACAGAAAGTGATAAAAATATATTGTACAATGAACAATTTCCACCTTAAAAGTATCATTATAGTCCATAAATTTGTCAATAGACAATGCAAAATACTATTTACAACAAGATAGATTCTTTGTAAGTTCAAAATTTAGATACAGCATAACTCTAAAACTAACATCATATGTTTTCCCAGGTAAGAAAGACCAGTCATTATAAAAATACTTTATATAAATTCAAAGTCAGAACTAAAACATTCAGTCCTCTAAAAATATTTTTTTCTAGTCAAGTATCAATTTCTAGATAAATGTTCTTTATCAAAACAATTACACACCTAAATTTTCAGGAAATACCTAGTATGTCAGACAGTCCACTTAAACATGTTAAAGCACAGTTCTAATCCTGTCTTAGTTTTCAGAGATGGACCACATATTTGATTATGTTTCATATCAATGGAACAATTATTCTACAAAAAGTTAAGTATCTATGTATTATGAAAGTATTTATAAAGATGAAGTCTTCAGCCTAGAGACGGGACTTTCAGGTGGGACCTGCCTTCAGGAGAAGGCACCACTTTTGTTATGAAGCAGCTACATAGTGCTTTGAAATATTTAACTTGGAAAGCCTGTGATGGCATTTTGACCACTGTCTGAAATCAGCTCATTCATTTCATTTTGCTTACTCTCTTTTAGGGCATGATTGGGGTGATTTCTTTGTGTCTGTGTTCTTTTTGATCTCCTAAAACATACTTTCAGCAGCAGGTAACACAATTCCGCCACATTAAGCAGCATGCAAATCACAGATGCAGAAATCATAAAAATGGTAAACACGGTTTTCTCAGTAGGTCTAGAGATAAAACAGTCTACAAGGTTGGGGCAAGGGTCAATCCCACATTTCAACACCCAGGGCAGGTGGTACCCATTGTAAAGGAAGTAAAACACATACATAAAGGATGCTTCAAAGATGATTCGGAAAAAGATGCTGCTGGTGTACGTCCACCACAGGGACCCCTCTATCCGAACCTTCTGCTTTTTAATGTCTTCTAAGTCTTTGAATTCATTTCTTTTCTCTCCTCGCCTAAATTTGCGGGCAGTCTCATGTCTGTAGTAGGCGACATGCATCGCGACCAGCATGGCTGGGGTGGAGACAAAGATGAGTTGCAGAGCCCACAGCCGGATGTGAGACACAGGGAAAAAGTGGTCATAGCACACATTTTTGCATCCTGGTTGCAGAGTGTTGCAGACAAAATCTTCCTGTTCATCGCCCCACACTTCTTGAGCAGCCACTACAAGGATCATGACACGAAAAATGAAGATGACGGTGATCCATACCTTCCCGATGCTGGTGGAGTGTTTGTTCACACCCCCGATGAAAGTGTGTAGAGTACCCCAGTCCATCGTGTTGGCTTATTCCTAAACAGACAAAAATTAGCAAAGGTTAACCAATGGAAAGTTCCTCTGATTTTATAAAATAGTATAGTTATATTATAGACTCAAGCAAATTTCTCTTAAAGTATGCTGCAAAGGGTGCCTGGGTAGCTCAGTTGGTTTAGCGTCTGCTTTTAACTCAGGTTGTAATCTCAGGGTTCTGGGATGGAGCCCCAAGTTGGGCTCTTTGCTCAGCGGTGAGTCTGCTTCTCTCTCCCTCTGCCCCTATCCCCCCCCTCTTTGTGCCCTCTCTCTCAAGTAAATAAAATCTTTTAAAAAAACAAGTATGGTGTGATATCTTATAACTTCAACCTCCTAGGTGGCTAGTAGGTTTTCTGGTAGGGAAGGCCCACTCTAAAAACATTCTAACATATTTGAACCAGAAATAACTCTTGCGGGGTGGGGGTGGGGGGTTCAGATAATCCTGATTCAACTGAATTCAGGTTATATGTTAGGTTGCTGCTTGACATTAATCCAGGAAGTCAGATAAACAAGTAACATTTCCCAATTTTCTTTTAAGCACCATGCATCTAAGTACTGCATCAGTTTCATTTTGCCCAAGAGATCACAGAAGTCCCACAATAGGTCTTATTCATTCAATGGCTTATCGAAGACAAAAAAAAAAAAATCACTGGAATGACATAATGTGGTGTAACTAGCGGACTAGAAAGGGGTAAGAGACCCCAATACTTGCTAGTTTACACAATATATTTATGTTTTCTAGTTGGAATAACATCATTTGCTGAACTCATGTGCTCTTAAGGAGGCATAATGTCACACGCTACAGAAAGGCTCCCTTCTGAATGAGAATCACAAGCTTTTACAAAAAGCGCTCTGTGGCTCTCCACGGTAACCAGGGCCACTGCTAGCTTTCCCTCCCTAGTCCTGCACCCCAAGAGCCATGGACGAAAGAACCAGCAGTACAGAGCCTCTCCCTACTAATGCACTGATTTAACATCCTGAGAGAAAACATTCTTGACTCCCACAGGAACTTTTGCTACAATTCAAACAGATGCCTTCTTACCCTACATTGCCATAGAAGACTAGAGAATTAATCAGCATTTGGATAAAAGAAAGAAAAGAAAAAGAAAGAAAGAAAAAGAAAGAAAGAAAGAAAGAAAAGAAAGAAAGAAAGAAAGAGAAAGAAAAGAAAGAAAGAAAGAAAGAACAGAACTCAGAGAATCTTTTGAAAGTGAAGACCTTCTCTTCAGAAAAACAGGCTCACACAATTGTCAAACCTTTTAGGGATGAGGGAGCCACCAAAGTCCTTTCATCAGTCCGTCTTAGGGAGACTTTCTTGTATTTGACTGCATACCGGGGGTAGGCTTCTCCTCAGGCTGACCCTCGACTTCCCCAGGCCCCATGTCCTGCCCACAGCTCTGCATCACACATGTTGCTCTTCGAAGCAACTGGGTAAATAAAGGCAGGCTCAGTTCCTTCAGGAGTGCTCAGCACTGAGTATCTGGATGAGGTGCTAATGTGTGCCCCAGAAGCAAGATCCTTTGTTGACACTAATAAAGTCAGCCAGTCCTGTATTATGAAAGGTAGACTTCCACTTTAGTTGGCTTTCTGAGAAATTCATTTTTGCCCTTTGGTTTTTGAGAAATCACCTTTTTCTCAGAAAGACATATAGGCCTAAGGAAACAATGCCATCATCCACATTACATGTGTGTGTGGATTCCTTTTCTGTCTGAACTGGGCAGTGGAAGTAGGGGGCACATGCTACTGAGGGTGAGGGAAGGGCAAGCAGAGGCCTAGCTATAAATTTCAACATCATGAGTTTCTCCCCCGCCTTCTCTTACCAAAGCATATAGAGGCCAATTATAGGAAAACCCCTTCTTGCCACCACATTGCCAAGCCAAGTAAATAACAATCACCAAGACTCCCATAAGCATTTATTGCCTACTGTATACAGATGTTAACTATTTCATCTTTGCATCCCAAGGCACAGTCCAGTTCCCAGCACTGAGCAGGTTCTGAACAGAGCTGCAGAGCAGATGGGGGATGCGGGGGGGGGGGGGGTGGTTGCAGCAAGAGGCACAGGGGAGAGCTTCCAGAGATGCATTCCCATCCTATGAATTTGAAGGTGTTAGATTGCAACTATGCAAGGAGGAAGCACATAACATCTTAACAAGAAAAAAATGGGGAGGACACAATGTGGCTGCACTTCTGCAACTGTACTTGCACTTGATTAACGGAGTCACCAGAAGACAGGATAATTAGTGATCATGGAATTTCACAGATGCTTATTATTTCCTTGAATAATCCCTAAGAAGGAGTCAAAAAACAGCACTTAACAAACTAGCACCCTCAGACTATTCAGGGTTCCCAGACCCTGCAGGCCAACATCAAAGCAAAGGAGGTGGAGCTGGGAATAAGGAACTGTAGAAATAGTTTTGAAAGATTTAGTGCATATACCAGCCTATTCCTACTCCACTGGCCAGAAAGAACTAAAGGACTTTGAAATGTTTATAGATCTTAAAAGTTGTTCAAATGCCATGGAGCATGAAACGTTTTAACACAGAATATGACAAGAACATTTGAATTCTTAAATCCAAACTAAAATTGAGCCGAAAGCTTACATTGTGGCAGAAATGGGAAAATGCTAATTATGATTTTAATTTAGCCTAGGCTTTAGGGAAGCATATTAATTTTTTTTCAATGAAAATGAAAAGACAAAAAAAAAGAAAAAGAAAATGAAAAGACAGGTAGAATTCCATAGCTAAAGACTTGAAAAGGGGGTTGGGGCAGAAACAAGAACTCCTAAATGTGTCATACAGTTCTGAGGCCATCAGCTAAGGGATGGAGAAACTTCCAGGAGCACTGAGGAGCTCAGATTTTCAAGCAACAAGAAAAGAGAAGACAACCCTGGTCGCCACACACAACAGAAGGGGCCCAAGCTTGCAACAACGATGTCAAAAAATTTAATCACTATTTAACACAAAAAATAAAATAGAATAAAAAATGTGAAAAAGAAAGAAAAGTAAGATATTTGAGCCAAAAGAAAAGAACGGGGTGGGCACGATGCTTCTTGTGCTCTAGCACAAGGCATAATTTTAACTGATAACAGAGAAAAGGCAGAGACTCTTCCCCTACTTTATCAAAGAGAAATTCTTTAAAAAATTATTTCTAAAACATTGGTACAAGAGAGGTGTGGAGCCAGTGTCTACCTTCTGAGAAAGAGATTTTAAAAGTCTACAGTAAGTGTATCTTTGATTTTAAAAACTCATCTTGGGGAGTGCCTGGGTGTCACTGTTGGTTAAGTCAGAGGCTCAGGTTTTATCTCAGGGTGATGAGATTGAGCTCAGCGCTTAGCTCAGAGTCTGCTCGTATTTCTCTCACCTCTTCCTCTGCTCCTGCCACTCTCTTTCTCTAAAATATATAAATAAATCTTTAAAAAAACCTCACCTTGGATAATATGAATTATACAATAATTTTTAGTCTATAACGAAAGTCATTACAATAAATTTTCTTAATTGCTGCTGCTCTATCCTGGAAGCATTTCAGGAGGTAGGAACACATACATCTTAATGGTTAAACATATTTTACACAGCTATTCACCTAGGGGGAAAATCCTATTTGTTGATAAAGATGTTCTCCCAATAAACATTCCCCATTGCAATTTGGTTTAAGTGTCCAATCAGCAAGTTTTTGACTTATCAAAAAGAAGTTCACATTTTCTTAAACCCTCCAAAGTGCAGAGGATTTAAACTCCTCCACAGGTAAGAAGGCTGTTTTTCTCTGAGTTCTTTATCAAGAGCCCTACCGAACAATGGCACACCTGTGGCCACCCATTACCTGCCTGTATAGCAAAGCAAACCGAACAAGGTGAAAAAGGATAACTCAATCTGAATGAATTCGGAGAGGCCGAAGCCATGCGAGAGGTCAGGAGGGCAGAATTTCCCCACAAGAACATAGTCCTAGCTTTCTAGAAGCAGGATCCTTGACATCTGTGCGTTAGGGATTTTTCCTTCTTAAAAAAACAGGGACAATTATGATGTTAGTGGTTTTATTTCTTTTGACTTCTCTGGGTGCCCAAATGACACATTCTGAAGTTCTATCAAAGTAGCAAAGCTGAACAGAAAATAATCTATTTTTACAATACTTTTGACTTCCATTAAAAATCAGCAATTTCCCCCCATGCTTTTAAAGGGAGAAAAAGAGATGCCTAGGTCACTAAGAAAAATGAGTGATTAAACCCAAATACAAGTGTGTCCAGCCTACTGGTCACTCAAGACAATGAGGCTAAAGACAAACCAGCTGATCTGCAGTATTAAAGGCCCCATTACATATCACCGTAGAAATGACAAGAAGCCCTGTTCTGCACACTCTCCATCATTCCCTTGCCAGAACTGCGCTGCAGGGAAGTCACTCAGTGAATGTGACCCCATGTTTCCTCCAGTGAGAGCTGCTCTTTTGATTCTTTTGTCTAGTCCACATCCTGAGGATCTTAGGCATGGGTCTCGTGTATCATCGTCCATGTGCTAAGAGCAGAAGGACAACTTGCCTCACAACTACTGGGAGTCAGTCAGGGAAAGGGACTGCCCCAAGCTTCCTGACCCTTCGCTGCAGTCACCTGCCCCCAGAACGCTCTTCCCCCTTGAGGGGCCCAGAAGAGGAAGGAGCTGACAGAGGGTAGAAGATTCAATAAGCTGGAAAGGAGGATATTTGGCTCCACTTGTTCTTCCTGACCTTGCAGTAGGTTGAAGCCACTTGTGGCTCTGGGGGAAGAGACTGCCCACTGGCCCAGTCCTCCCTATAAAAACATAACTCCTGGGGTAGCGGTCCATCAACATTTTGGGTGTAGAAGATTTGAAGGCTGAATGCTCTGAAAATTCCTTTCCAAAACAACTGCATCCGTTGGAACTCTTTGCAGTTAGTATTAGTAAGCAAAATACCTCCTTTCTCCCAGGCTTCAAGCTGGCTGCAGCCAATGGGAAGAGCTTTTTCAATAAAAAGTAAAATACTAACTGTTTCTTTGCAAACAGAGAAGTTAACTGGTTCCCCTCTGGCTCTCTTTTAGGGAAAGAATACGTTTGCCTAGCTTCTGTAGTCTTGTCTCCATACAAGAATGTGATTATACTTTGGGGCACCTGGGTGGCTCAGTGGGTTAAGCCTTCAACTCGATTTTGGCTCAGGTCATGATCTCAGGGTCATGATCTCAGAGTCCTGAGATGGAGCCCTGCCTCCAGCTCCTGCATCTGGCTGTGTGCTACTGAGTGTGGATCCTGCTTAAGATTCTCTCTCTTCTTCTCCCTTTGTCCCTCACCTGCTTGTGCTCTCTCTTTCTCTCAAAAAAAAAAAATGTGGTTACACTTCAAGTTACAAAGGTAAACTGTCTTTAGTTTCATGGTACAACTAATGATGGTGAATAACTCCATGTTGCATTCTTGATACTAAAGCTCCAGTCAGGAATACTTAGCTCTAAGAATAAGTAAACCATTGATCTTATTTCTGATGATACACACAGCATTATGAAGATAGAGTGTCCTTCCTTTGTACAATTCAAATAATTTACGTAACAAAATTTCTTGATTGTTTTAAAACTTAAGAATTTAATTATAACCAGTTTACTTAATAATGCCATTTTAGTTTCACTGATGACAGAACCAAAACTAAAGCTTTAAAATTATAATGTTACCCCTTGGTAGACACCAAGAGGTGGAAAATGTCTTTCTAGGAAGTTCTATTGCCCTTTGGATGACTCTTTCAAAGTTATTCATTGAATATTTGATATACTTGAGAACAAAACACATTCTTCATGATTTCCACATTAGCTCTGACTAGTTGAGGAGTTTTATATTGATAAAAAAAACAATGTCAAAGCAAAATAAGCACATTTGGGCCTTCCTTCCAAGGACTCACAGCTTATTGGCCTGGAGAAGAATTAGGCAGCGTTCCCTCCTCAAGGGCTTCAGGCTTTCTTCTACACCATTTGAGTGCCTAGAAGCCAATGTAGCACAGTAATGACATGAATGTAATTCTTTGTGCAGTTTTAGTTCAGTGAGGATGTCACCTGTTGAGAGAAAAATAATAGATGTGACCATATTTCTTAAACTATGCCCTACGTGTCTATTGTGTGACCTTTGTGGGTAGTTTTTCTTTATCTCCAGAACTGTTAGGAGGGAAGTCTAGAGACTACCAGCTTCCTGATGCTTCATACTTTGAATATTAATAAAATAAAAATAAAATCTTAAGTGTAGATTCTTTGCTTTATCAAAATAATAATAACAATATTACCCAACCCCAAACCCCAAGTCCATTCCTTGAGCAATTAAGAAAAAAAGTAAGAAGTTTGAGAAACTGGATATGCTCCTCTTTCCCCTAAATCAGCAGTCTAAAAAAAACAAAAAACAAACAAACAAACTCAAACTCCTTACTCAAGAAGAATCTATGTCTGTTGTCTCTATAAAGCTCAGGTCATCCAAGGGACAACCTTATCTCTGATTTTTAAATTTAATGACTCAAAATTTCATCAATCGTCCTTTCAGAGTAACAGCTAGTGATAAAATGGATTTAGGATTTACTTACTTCTTCAAAATTAACTCAATAAAAATGAAAGAACTTTTTCTATGTCTGGAGTCTAAACATAAACATGGATAATTCATAGAGTTACATGTATTTCTTAATCCATTTAAGAAGTCAAAGAGTTAAAACATTTTCCATTAAGCAGTCTCTGTCAAAGCATACCTTCGTCCTTTCCAAATATTTCAGTCTAACTTGAGTTGAGTGACCATGAAAATAAAAAAGGAAAAGGTGCTCAGTGGAACCCAGTTCCATTATCATGGTCCAAGCAAGTAAAACAGAAATCTTAATAAATCATAATGCAGCCATTGGACAGATTACGTCCTCATGGCCAAGAAGCTTGTGTTGAAAATTATTTTCCCACAATTTTATTCTATTTAAGATTTTAACTAATGTCTACAAACCACTCATAGCTCCTAGAATATTCAGGTTGAACTGAAGATGCATGGTCAGGGTTTGTAAGTAGAAATTTTTCTTTCACCCTTACTGAACTGTTTGTTTAGTCAGACCTGCAGTTCTTTTCTTTCTTAAAGCTATTGTAATTCAGAAGATAAAACGTCAGAAAAGGAAAATAAAGTCACTGTTACCTGCACCAGGATTGGTTTTAAAATAAAACCCAAGTGAAGCAGTGGGTCTGACTAGTGTCTTCCCAGTCTGGGTCACTGCTGGGAAGGTGCTGGGGAACCCTGCTCCCCGCCCCCTCACCCCAGGCTACAGGGTGTTGATGTTCTCTCTTCATAACTTCCTTCTCCCCTCCTTGGCAGGGCTCAAACAACACCCCCAAAGACTTTGCCTGATCCAAACAACAGACAAAGCTCTCCACAGGAGCAGTTTTGAGCAGGATCCTGCAATTCTAAGGAAACTGCATTGGGGCAGGACATTCTCTTCTGGAACGCTGGTTAGATTCTACTAGAACTGGGGCAAGAAAATACTTCTATGGCATAAAGTCTACTGAAGGGAAAGGACAACGATGATTTGGCACTCCACTGACAGCAGGATTCCACCACGGGGACACTGCGGTCCCCACAGGGGTGCACTCCGGGGGCGCAGAGCTGCATTCAGGCCACACTCACCTCAGGTTCAGTCCTGCGCTCCAGAAAGGGAGGCCAACCCAGTCAGAGCCCTCGAAGCCAGGTAACACCTGGGACTGCTCTCTGTCACTAGACAGGAAGTACCTTCTGGTGCCTCCACCTCTTAACTGAGATGTGTCACCAATGACACTTAATTACTATTGTCCAGTAATAGTCCAGTAATTGTATTATTGTCATTTGCGTTTCCCAAGTTCCTTGGGCATCCATCATGCAGCCAGACAGGTCAGCTCTACCTGTGACTCGTCCCCTCGCCCGGTGGAACCGGCTTTCCTTTACCAAATCCAGGCCGGACTTGCAGTGTTCCATAAAAGCAAAGAAAATCCCAAACGCAGCAAAGGAAGTGGGAGAAAGGGGCACAGGTCCACACCCTCGCTCGCACACACCATGCGGTATATTTATAAAAACCTGTTGTGCAGGTCGAAGGGGGACCATCTAGGGCAAAAGTCCAACCCGTCGGTCCTCGTTCCTCCGGCTGCGCAGAGGGCGCCAGGCAGCGCGGGGCCGAGCGCGGCGGGGCCTCTGCGGGCGCGGGAGGGCGCGGGAGGCGCGGGAGGCGCGGGAGGATGCGGATCCGCCGCAGATAAGGTTGCCCCAGGCAACCCCGGAGCGCGGCCCCCCGGCCTCCCGCCGCCCCGCCACCCGAGGGCGACTGCGCCCCGCGGCCACCGGGCCCACCTGTGAGCGGTGGCCAACGAGGGCGAGAGGGCGAGAGAGGCGGCAGGCTGCGGACCTCGCCGCTCGGGTTCCCGGAGGCAGCGGCCAGCGGTCAGGGGCCCGTGCCTGGCGCGCGCTTACCTGCTCGGCGGGGCGGCGGCGGGGTCCCGGGGTCCCGGGGTCCCGGGGGCGCGGAGCTCTCCGCGCAGGGCGGCGCCCTCGGCTGCAGCCGGGCAGCAGGTGGGCCTGGGCGCCCCGGCTTTCGGGCCGGTGTCAGGAGTGTGCGGTCGGTGCTCTGGCTCCGCTGCGGGCGCCGGCCTGGCTTCCCACCTGCAGCGCCTTTTAACCGCGCCCCACCCCCGCCTCTGCCCTGACGCTTCCCGGCGACTGCGAGAGGCGAGAGCGCGGAGTTCCGACGCGCGCCCGCCCCGGGGCGCGGGGTGCAGGACTGGCCCTCCCTCGGGGGCGCGGAGAGAGAGGGCTGGACACGGGGAGCTGGGGGTGCAGGACTGGCCCTCCCTCGGGGGCCCGGAGAGAGAGGGCTGGACACGGGGAGCTGGGGGTGCAGGACTGGCCCTCCCTCGGGGGTGCAGGGAGCTGGCCCCACCTGGTCCTGAAAGGATGGGGCGGCCCGCTTCTCCTGGCCGCTCCGAGGGTTCGCCCTCCAGATGGGAGGCCGCTCGACTGAGAACCGGGGTCTCCTGGGCAGGTGCCTTAGGGAAAGGGACCGAGCGAGTGGGTCCACAGCCATTAGAGAAGTTCCCGAAGGAGGTGGACTCGTTGGAAACAGTGTTAGGTTCCATAACATATTATTATGTTAGGCAGGTTGTGTTTTGGCCAGGACGCATCCTCCTATTTTTTTTTTTTTTTCTGGACCCTGTCTCCTAGCCCTCTGGGTACCCGTGCACCGCCTTCTCCTAGAGAAGCCTGGAGGCACAGTGACTGTTGTTTTCTATTAATTAGTGACCATTAATGACCATAATGACGAGGTTATTTTTATTAGTTACCTCCATCCTTTGACACCTCCTCCACGGGAAGCAGAGTGAGGCTTGTTGGCTAGCCTGGCGCAGCACATAAGGACCCCACCGGCGCCCTCCTTTCACAGATAGGGCTTCAATCGCCTAGGGTAGGCGCAGGGGCTGGGGCAGGGGCTGGTGGGGTAGAAATATTGGGAACTGTTTAGGGACCCGGCTGCACAGGTTCAAACCTGTTCTACATCAGACAAGAGGTGTATGACTTGCTTATTTCACAAAATTGGTTGGTGATTAAATGTCCCCACCTAAACAATACATACACTAGTTGTTGGGTCATATTCTCTCATACAACAGAGTTAGTGGTGGTTCTTAAAGTGTCTCTTTAAGGTCTTGAAAAATGAACCATGACTATAAAGATCTACCTCCCAAAATACTTTGAGGAGAACAAGATTCTCAGAGAATTGCCCTGCCTCAAATAACTATAAACACTTTGAGGGGCCCTGGAATGGCCTTTAATGTAAGGTTGGAGATATGCAAAAACCTGTTTTAGGCTTTTTCATTAGACATACTTGCTGTCTTCATGTAGCCTGTCCCTTGAATGTTCCATCAGCTTAAGGTCTGGCTGGTCCTCTCCTGCCTTCTTGCCTAGTCTCTCCATCATTCCCCTCAAACAAATGTACCTGTGTTTGCATAGTAACATAATTCAATTAAAATAGCAGACTGTAAACCTCTTTGGGAATTATAAACAGGTTAAGCCTTTTTGCATTCCCACTAACAACACTAGGTAAAGTACTTTGCACATAGTAGATGCTGCTCCATGAGTATTTGCATATTGCTTGGCAAAACCCAAGCAACATAGCAGATAATCCTGGAAATGGCTTTTGTTCCTAGAGCATGACTGTCCACATTCCCGCTCCTTACAGCTGCTTCCACACAGCACTGTGTTTGGGCATTTATATTCTGGACCAATGGAGGTTGTACCAGGACTCTTCCAGGAAAGAACTTTTGAACTAAAGTAGTCACAGAGAATGTGTTAGTTACCTTTGCTCAGGTGTCCATTTCAACACTGTGCGGAAGCATCTCTGTTCCTGTTCAGATGATCTATGGCTTTCCACTTTGTCATTTACCTCTTAATGTTTAATCCCCAATCAATTTTCACTTATCAGATGGTCCCATTGCTACAGAAATTTAATATGGATTATATAAATGTACAGACTTGTTGAGATGTTCATTTGAAAACTGAAAGTTAAAGATTTTACGCTGATGAGAACCAAAGGCATCTAGAGTGTTGACTGGGTTGTGAGCTGTGTGACAAACATGGAAAAGCCTTCCAGAGCTGATTACAGTCGTACTGTCCACTTAACAGTATCACACGATTCTGAAAGCTATGTTTTTGCAGTCCTGGTTGTAATCAATGTCGTGAAACTCATTTGATGGATATCTTCCCTCTGTATCTATCTCAATGATGATTTCCAGAAGCCATAAATTTAATCTGCACAAATTGTGGAGTGTGGATCTTTCTTTGCAATACCAGGAGATTTGGAGGGATGATGGTGAGATACTCTTTTGAAAATCTGTAATTTCTCTGAGTGACCTCTCCTGCTTTTACATAGAGAACAAAGGAAACTCCAGCCCCTACTACCCACCAGTGCCCCCACTCCTCATACTCCTCCCTGTTGGCTGCTGGTGCAGACTCACAGTCTAAGGTGGAAGTAGGGCACAGGGACTCTTCCTTGGAACTGACATAGTATCAGACACCTGGAAGGGAGAGAACTGTGTGCAACAAGAAAAGCCTATATTGAGCAGGCCTATATTAGGCTGAGGACATGGAGGAGACAGTTCCCAGTTCCCATCTCAGGAGTTTTCTAGTTTTATTTTTCAAATCTGTGTGCAAAAGTTATGTGAGATGCTCTTGAAAGGATAATATGATACTATACAGGTTCCTGGGAATCTACTCTTGTGGATCTTGGGTGAGCCCAGGAACTTTCATTTTTATCAATTATCTTGAGTATTGCTCATATAGGTGGTCTGACAACCATATTTGGAAACATGCTAGTTATGGATCTTCTTCACTTTTTGATTTTTAAAAAGATATCAGTTTTTATTTTTCCTCATGTATTTCATTTCATTTCCAGTATAGTTAATATACAATGTTATGTCAGTTTTAGGTGTGCATTATAGTGATTCAACACTTCCATTACATCAAACCTAGAAACAGACTCTTTTTAAAAAAACCAAAAAACCAAAAAACCATATTTATTGCGACAACTGGATGTCTCAGTCAGTTAAGTAGCTGCCTTCATGAGGCTTAGGTTATGATCCCAGGGTCCTGGGATAGACCTGCATCGGGCTCCCTGCTCAGCTTCTCCCTCTCCCTCTGCTGTTCTCCTTGCTTGTACTCTCTCTCTGCCTGTCAAATAAATAAATAAAATCTTTAAAAAGAGAGAGAGAGAGCTGGACCCTTAACTGACTGAGTCACCCAGGTTCCCGTAGAAACAGACTCTTCACTATATAGAACAAACTGGTGGTTACCAGAGGGGAGGTGGGTGGGGGATGGGTGAAATCAGTGATGGAGATTAAGGAGCGCACTTGTGATTTTTAATTATGGTAAAAACATATAACATAAACTCACCATTTTAAATTGTACAATGCATAGGACATTTAGTTCATTCACAGTGTTGTGCAACCATCACTACTGTTTAGTTCTATAATATTTTCATCACCCAAAAGGAAACCCAGGACCCATTAAACAGTCAATCCCTATTTCTTAACCCCTGGTTAACTACTAATCTGCTTTCTATCTCTCTAGATTTGCCAGTTCTGGGTGTTTCATGTAAAGGGGGTCATATAATATATGGCCTTTTGTGCCTGGCTTCTTTCATTTATGTTCATGTTTTCAGAGCACACCCATGTGGGAGCAGTGTCAGTACTCCATTCCTTTCAATGAGTGTATATACCACATCTTATTTATCTGTTTTTCTGTTGACAGACACTTTACTTGTTTATGCCTTTTGTTTATTGCGAATGATGCTGTTATGAACATGCATGTGCAAGTTTTTGACGAACACTCATTACCAATTATTTTGAGTATAAATCAGAAAAGGAGTGGGACCACAGGGTCATGTGGCCGTTCTATGTCCAACTTATTGAAGAACTGCCCATTTCGAACTGTAGCTGCACCATCTTACCATCCTTCCACCAATGTCTGATGGTTCCACTTTCTCCACATCCTCACCAACACCTGTTATTTTCCTTTATCTTTTTAAGGTACAGCCATCCTGTGGGTGTTAGGGGATTATCTCATCATGATTTTGCCTTCCTTTTCTCTGATGCCTAATGACCCTGAGCATCTTTTCATATGCTTGTTGGCCATTTGTATATCATTGGAGAAATGTCTGTTCAATTATGGATATTTTAATATGGCAAGGTGATTTACAAATACTATCTCAACAAATAGAGAGTTCCTACAATGTGCAAAATGTAAGTGGCTGCCCAACTCTGGCAGTTCCATGTTCCCTGCGGATTTTGTTGTGATGAGGCAAGGACTTTTTTTGGAGGATGAAATGTATGCTTGCAATGGCCAGTGAAGTTGGGAAGGGACGCAGCAATGGTCTCACCACGAAGCAGCCATCAAAAAGTATGCCTCCCTGTCCTTACACTTTCTGGCTATTGGCATCGGATGCACTGCATTTTGCCTGAGATACGGTTACTACTCTGTCATTGTTCTGTAGTATCCCATGTTGACCTTCAAGGGGATGAATTGAAAGACTACTTATGGTTTTGGTCCTTTTATTTATTTTTTATAATAAACCTTTTATTTTAGGTTAATT